AACAGTTTTTGCCTCAAGAAAATTAGTTTTTGAATTTTTAAAATTCGAAGACGAAGTCAAAAAATAAAATAAAAAATTGCGCAATTTAGATTTTGAAAAGATCTACAACCCCATATTTTTTGTTTTGTTTTTTTAAAAAAAAAATGTTATGCAGAAAAATATATTGAACAACGTTTGCCTGGTGGTCATATCCAAAACCGTTACGGAATTTAAAATAAAAAATCACATACATTTCATGTTTTTTTTTTGGAAAAAAAAAAAAACAGCTTTTGCCTGAGGAAAATTAAATTTTGAATTTTTAAAATTTGAAGACGAAGTCAAAAAATGAAATAAAAAATTGCGCAATTTAGATCTCGAAAAGATCTACAACCCCATTTTTTATTTTATTTTTTGATAAAAAATTGCCTCATAAAAATTTCCTGAAAGTCGCGGCCGCACCCAACCGCGGCCGGAGCTGCGGCGGCCGTGATCACAGCCGCCCTCCGAGCTTGACCCCGTGGACGCGTCCGCGGGTGTTTCATAGGCGGACGATGATGGCGTCACCTGGACGACCATCGATGATTCGAGCAGCACGAGCCAACAAAAGATTGCAACTGAAGTTGGCATGGACTCTGGCTGGATTGTCTGTTGATACGCTTGGTTCCTCATTCATCACTCTGTTCTCTCTCTCTCTCTCCCCTTCTCCACCGAGCATGCAATCAGGAGATGGCATAATTTTGGAACCCCCTGTGCGTCACATATGTGACGAACTACTTCCCGAACCCGTGCTATCTTTCGTACCCTTTTTGCTTGTATCATACCAACCCCATAAAAACCCCATTTCGTTTTCTTGATTTTGGGTGCCGCGTTTTGGGCCCCCATCTTTCGGAAGCTTTTACGATTCCCGGGTTCTGCTTTTTTTTTTTGCAATTTGGGAAATACATAGGAATTGACGTGTGCCTTAGCGAGTGCACTGGGAATTGGGCCCGGCAGTTGGAAATTCCGGGATAAGCGGAACTTCGACGTGTCCTTTTTGTGTGTGAATGTTCTCGGTCGCGTTGGGGAAAACTCTTGGAATTTTGTGGGGATACGAATAGGCGTAGGACTTTCTTTTCCCGCGTCGCTCTTTCACGCGCGGATATGGTGATTTCAATTCTGAATTGGTTTAGGATGTAGGCAAGCGGTAACTGTTTCGGTGCCTTTTTCTCTTTTTGTTGACGGCGCCTCGCATGCAAAGCTTTCTCCTTTCTGTCCCCCGCATCGCTCTCTCCCGCGCTCCTTTTTCCTTCCCCCTCCTCTTCCTCTCTCCTCGTAACTGTTTTTCTCCCTCTCTCTCTCTCTCCCGCTCTACTCTTTGTGCGCTCATTTCCCCTTGTTGATCGTCAGAATCTTAGACCCGTCTCGCGCTACTTCTCGCGCCTTTTCTTTTCTCGCCCTTCGAGCAAAGCTCGCGAAGTCCGGTGGATCCTTAGATTACTCTCGCCCACCAATCAGACGCGTGGTACGGTAGGATCTGCCTATTGCGCGACGAGTTTGATTGGCCAATCGCCAAGTTGCGAAGGATCAACATGGCTTCCACGAAGCGCTCTTCTCAAAGTCTTCTCTTCCTGCTTCTCCTCTTACACTTCGACTTTCCCCCTGCATTCTCCCTCCCTTGTCTCCCTCCTCGCTGGTATAAATTCCGCAAGTGAGCCCGCAAATCTCTCTTTCGTTCTCGACTCCTAAGCCAGCGTCTGGGAAGCAGTGGCTAGGCAGAGTGTTTGGTGCGATTCCGAAAGTCCTGTCGGGCTGACGATAGGCTGGCCGGTTGAGCGCTTGATCGCCACAACGGACTGTGGGATCTGGGCGAACCGCGTCGAGTTTACGTCGGCGGGATGACGATCGCAGTGGTGGGAGTTGGCACGCGACGGTCGGGATCGTCGGTGCGAGCATGAGGACCGATTGATTGGAGTTGAGTGAGTGATTGGCCCGGGATCATATTGGAATTAACAGCGAATGCGCCTTTGTTGTTGCGGATCTTTATCTCTGGCGTGAGTGTACGGCGGCAACGCCGAACTTCCTTCTTTCGGATCTTGTCATCTCCTTTCTCGACTTTCCTCCCTCATCTCCCTCTCTCTCTCTTCTATCTTTGAATGATGATGTGTCTTAGTGTTTGTTTCCCCCTTGGATGAAAATGAATCTTTGTGCTTTCCTGTGTGAAAGAACTTCTTCCGGAACTCTTTCATTAGTTTCCTGGGTAATCCCCATATGTCGAGGAATTGCTCCTCTTGTCTTGTGAACGGTGGATGCGTGTGTACCATTCCCTCGGTTGATTTCTCACTCGTATACCCATGTCATTTTCGCACCTTCCACAGTGAATGTATGTATGAAGATGCGCGTCTTTTCTTGTTGATTAGACGCAACCCCCAATAGGATTTTGTTCGAGAGTGCAAGAGTGTTTAAATCTGTAGTTTTGAATTCACGGCGCATGCCATCTGCCTTATGCTGCACGACATCTGCAGCCAATCTACAGGGTAGCCTCGAGAAATAAGGCGCCTGGGATCAACACCGCGGTGGCTTACGGAAACCTGAGTCGCGGGTCGGTCCCTTAGTTACATGCATGATGAAGCTGATGAATGTTTTTTTTTTCCCTCTCTCTCTCTCGGGTCGAAAAGGATTGATTGGGGGTTGCGCGAGTGTTTTCTTTTCTTGATGATGTCTCGGGATTTTTGCAATTGATTGATATGTGGACTGACAAGCACCCTTCGATCGGGCGCCAGCTTCCCGTATCTCCCGTCTCAACACGGCCTTTTCCCTACAACGAGGAAAGGACACGTGTATGCGAGTGGGACATAAGAAGCTGTCGCACAAATCGGCGGACGATACTACTTCCCTCCGGCAAACCATTGTTCAGGATTCGTAGAGGTTGGGTTTGTCATTATCGATACGCACTTTCCGCCTTACTCGATATTGTTGCCATTCAACGAGTTGGTCATCATCCCGTGGACGGCAGTAGAACCCCATTGGCCGCGCACCCTATGCACCGAATGCCTGCGCTTTGAGCGCTACGAATCCAGGGGTTTCCTCTACCGTGTGCGGAGTGAGGACGAACATAGAGAAAGAGCAACGCAATTAAGACCCTCCACATCGGATTCAGAACTGGTCATTGGACGACGACGGGACTTGATACGAAAGCGATACACGCGAAGCGTGCCGAAGCCCTTTTGTTCTAAACGACGGGTCTTAGCCAGGTGGGAAGTCCAACACTATTTTTTGGATTGAATTGTTTTTCTTACTCCTCTCGCGCCAAACTTCCGCGCGCGCAATTAGCGCCACGCGAAAAACGATCTACTTACTTCATCGGACCAACACGGGGGATTTGAGTTCCTTCTGTTTCCCCTCACTCAAATTCCAAAAATCCTTGGCACACCCCATCTTGCTGTTTTTCTGGGTCTCTTTCCGCACATCTAGCATTCCGAACGAAAGACAGCACAGGGCGTGAGGTTAGTGCATCACACGCGGAACCTGCGGCCTCGTCCCCGGCCGAGGGCTGCGCAGCCGAGCAATTTTGCAGCTGCGTCACACGCAGGCGGAGCCGCGCACCCGAAAACGGGTCGCGCGCATCGCCTGCACATGGCGTCCCCTTCCGGAAGCAACTAAAAAAAAAAAGAAATTGAAATTTGGGCGGGCTTATAAATGCTGTTTTCAGATGTGTTAAAAAAAAAAAAAAAAAAAAAAAAAAAAAAA